TGAGTGACTGATCTCATCACATAAAAAGATCTCCAGAACACAAGATGCAGAAGTCTTTAAGATTAATTTCTCTTCAAACTGGCCATATATAAAGCTATATACACAAATTCTTCAGAGAAAGAACAAAACATAAACAAAAACCTGAAATCAAAGAAAAAGTTTACCAAGAATCTAAACAAACCAACCTTTCACTGTTCTAAGACACTAAACATTTTTGTGACAAAGGCATCTGGAAAATACAGAATTTTTTTGTACTTGCCTTCATCACAAATTGTGAAAATTAATAATCTTTATAAAGCAGTTAAAATGCACTTAAAGTAAACATAATATATACATATGTATTACATAATTTATTTTAGTATACATAATTTATTTAAAAAGTATAAATAATTATTCTTAAGCATTAAATTATTTTAGAAGTAACATTTAAATAAAATGTACAAGTCAATATGTTTTAATGCCCCTAATCGTAAGATAACATCAAAATTAACAGCATGAAGCTTGTGAAGTAGCCATAAGAAAGAGAATTACAGATGTGTGTATATGTCTGGGCCACATAACCCTAAGAAATAAGTGGCGCTGGAAATTATCTTAAATAGCATTTTCAATTAACTCACCCTGCAATAACAACATATGATTTTAGTTATATAGCTATGTCACAATATGTAAATATAGCTTGGTAATCCCTATGGTGAACTAAGAATGGAAAGCTATAAGTAATAGACATTCTAATAATTTTACACTAAATTTGTTCTTTATATATAAAATCATCTTTAATAGGCTTCTCCTATCTAATATAGAAATGGAAAGTCCTAATTGGCATCAATGGAATTTCAGAGGTTCTATCTTACCAAATACAAAATATCTGCAGCCTACTACTTAACTCTGAAACCTTTTAAAAATAAAATAGGATTATCAGAAAATGCCTTTAATTTTAAGAACAACACAGTAAAAATAAAATTAAAACTGTGAACAAAGGAAATTGGATATATTATTTTAATGTTTATTTTTCCTAGAAAAATTTCTTATAGATATCATTCCCTTTTGTAATTCAAAAAAATGGAAGATTAATATGGCCACCTAGAGGAGAAAACATGATAACAAATATGCCATCACATTTTCTTACTTTTTCTAGAGTATCTGTATTTCAGATTTATATGTATAAACTGTTCTAAAGGACTCAACTGAAGAGGTTAATCATGTATGAAAGAGGCTTTGGTTGGATACCAAAGTAGTAGTGATGATCCAATAGAAGCTAAAACCATATTCGTTTTGGAGTGGACCTGCAAATAGAGTTTTTATAACTTACTGTGTGACCTTAGGTTAAAAATTACCTACTTGATCTAAAATCTCTTCTCACTTCTGTAAAATCGGCATAATCTTAGCTACCACAATGATTTGCAGTGAGGACTAAATAGTAATGGTGTGTACAGAAAGTAATAGTCAGGTACACAGTAGGAGCTCAATATGGTAGTTCTTACTACCTGGTCAGAGAGTTCTGTTCTATTCTCTCCTAGACTATCCAGGCCCTCCCTGACCCTCCCTAATCTTACAGATACTTCCAGTACTGGCTGTTCCAAAGCTTCTCTACTAGAATTATTCAATGTTGAGAAATGAACTAATGGTTCCTTACCAGCACTAATGAGGTAACAGATTGTCACGTAAAAAATGGACATTTAAGAATATTTTTCCCTCTACCTTGTAATTCCCTTTAGTTACCTCAACCTACACCTCAGTTAACTGTGATCCCTATAAACCTGCAGAATAATATGCAGAATAAAAGGTCAGAGCAGTAGAGAAACATAACCTACTATATCTATCCCTTTACTTGTTCCTCAGGAAAATGAACCAAATTCTACCAAGAGAACTATACTCAGCAGTCCTCTTAGGTGACCAGCCACCAAGTATTTCTGCTGCATTAGCTACTCAGAGGAATGACCATCTGGTGGAGACACAAATGTGTATTTGAACCAAATCCCTTTCCTTCCCAAATATATGCCAGAAGAGGGTTACCACTGCTGGGTTGGAGGGAGAAGGTGAACACTATGGTTCTTCTGTATCTTTCTGAGGGGGCATGTTAAGAATTTACTATCACTTGAAATTGCTTTTACTTAAGACCTTGTGTATATGTCTGAAATCTCCCCCTCCAATCAAATTCTCCTTTCTTCCCCCACTCCACTGAATCTTATTTTGGGCTCAAAGCGACTTTGACTTTTCAATAAGCAATAACCTATGATACAAAACTATTCTCCTAGTCTACTGTTTTCTTACATTATCACTTGGTCATCTCTCCATCCTAAATCCCAATGACAGCATTTTAACAATAAGGATATCTATCTCCACCCCAATGTTCCAGACATTTCTGATTCAGCATGACGGAAACTAAATTACCTCCTCCCACATAAACTTACTTCTTTAGTACTCTCTGAACTAATTAAAAATATTGATTCTTCACTCACTGCACATATTCAATCATTCAAGATATATTGAGATCATCCTTAAATCTACAAACTGTGTGTCCCCAAACTCACTGCAAATGAAGGTCTCATCACTGTTTATCCAACTGGTCCTTTCTACCTCCAATAGTCCTACCTCCAATTCATTTTCCGTTACAATAGTTAAATAATCTTTCTTAAATACATTTCTAAAAGTGCCACATTGTCCAGCTTAAAAATCTTCCAGGACTCTATATTTCCTATAAGATAATGAAGTCCTGAACATGGCATTCAAACCTATTACCTACTTAATCTCCAAACACAGATCCTAAGCTAGACACTAAAATACACTCTCATTTGCTTTCAAGATCCCATGGCTGTTGAAACAGATCTTACTTGAGTCCAGTTCACCTAGTCTGTGAAGACTACATTAGACTTCCCCATAACCCCACCTCCCCAACAACTGAGTCTCCTCCTTCTCTGAATGTCTACAGCACTTTGTTCATGAAACTAGTCAATGGTCTTCCTCCTCTAGTCTGTGGGCTCTTTGAAACAAGCTTGTTTTATTCATCTTTACATCCACAGTACATAGTATGGCACATAAAAAGCTTTTGACAAATGTTTATGAAATAAATCTAATTTCAGAATGCCTAAAGTCAATCTACCCTGGGTGTTTTATCAATTAATGTAGAGTAGAAATGGTAAGAAAGTAGAGATGGGTCCTAAAGTAAAATGAAATGAGAAGGTGACTCCAGGACATTGGCACCAGTTCCAGAGCTTCGGGCAGGAACAGAAGAGCCACGGAGCTTATGCTTCTCTCCTCACTGCTTTTCTCCCCGACTACAGAGCCGTGCTAGAATAACAGAACTGTGGGGAAGCAGTCAAGACAGCACAGAAGTGTAGGGAGTGAGGGGGAAGAAGCAGTGAGGAGGAAAAAATAAAAACCCTCAACTGAAGCTACAAAAAGGGAAGTGTCCTGGGTCACAGACAACAAACAGCCCATGCTCAGGACTGCTCGCTCTCATCACCAGCACTGTTTTCACCACCCGCGACCACAATGACCATTACTGGTCACTTACCCACAGGGGCCAGAACTATGCTACAAACCACCACATATACCATGGAATGTTCATGACAACCCTGTCAGGAAGGTATTATCCACATTTTAGAGACAATGAAACAAACCTAAAAACCATTAGCTATACTGCCCGAAGTTTGTGGCTAATATGTTAAGTCGCAGAGCCAGAATGTAAACAAGGATCAGGTTCAAAACCCATTCTCTTGAGGCTCTACTATTCACCTGCCAGGGGTGGACGGGGTGGATATATGCTGGGGACTGGCTTTACTGCTTCGTGTCACTCAGTTCTCTTTGTAAGCACGGGCTTTCTTTTCTCTAGTACTAGAAAGGTATTTTTGAGGGTAGAGTCTGATATTTTTTATTTCTTCCCTACCATCTCATAATGAACTTTCTATATAGTAATTTGATTAATTTATTATAAATTGTGTACTAGTAGAAAGAAAAAGGAGGTACATCAGTCATTAGCTAGCATAAAGCCGAATTAAAAAAAAGATGATTTAGCTCCTTTGACAACTCTATGTACTGGGGTTAAGACTTGATGTAATCAATAGTTATAGGCCCTTAAACACAAACCACAGCTATAAAAATGAAGGATAGCTTGTGTTTGATGTAATAAAAAATTGTCTAAGATATATTGCTCTCTTCTTCATAAATGAGTATAAAGATAATAATTACTAGGAGTACTCTAACATTCTATCAAGCATGTGAGCAACCTACCTAAAATGTAGAAATAAATATGCTTCAATTAATGGCAATTAATTTCCCTTACAGAAAGATGTAAAAACATGTTAGAGTGGACATGTATCTTCTATGTGAGTTTTAAGCCAATGTCAGTACATGAAGCAAAGATCAATTAGAGACAAAATAATCCTTGAAAATTCCTAAAGTCATCCTTACAGCAAAGTATAATACAGTACGAGCTCTCCATCCATCCTGGACACTTTTTCCCCCTACACAGATCACCATTTCTTCTGCTGTGCGCCACATGAAGTATTTGGCTTCTGTTTAGGGGCCACAAAGGATGAAAAAGCATACATTTACACACTAGAATCAAGTTCAACACTGTTAAGAGACTTAGACTCTCTGTCAGTTCCTATACCAGGTATTTAGAGACCAATTCCATGTGAGAGAACAGCAGACTCACATCTTCTACCTCATGCTTACACTGTGTAAAGAGAAGCAGAATTACTATGGTATTTAAATTATTTGGTGTTTTGCTTTTAGGTGTTTTAGGTTTTGGCTTCAGTCCAAAGATCTGAATTTTGATAAATTATATTCACAGAAATGTGATTCTGTTTATCTCTTGCTTATTGTGCAGGCACAGATGCCTAGAATTTTAGGTACAAATAATCTAATACTATAGTGTGTGATCTAAAAAAATAAGTAACCTCTACATCAAAAACTAATGATGTAATGTATGGTGATTAACATAATAATAAAAAAATAAAGATCACACACACACACACACACACAGTAACCTGTGTTACCTTCATCTATGGATGCTTCGCTACTGTAGCCATCATACTCCGCAGACAGAGGACTGTATTTTTGTCTTGTTTCCCAAGCATAGTTCTTTTGTCTTGAATCTGCCAATGGTAGTCTGGAATTGTGGGTTCTGGACAAGGCCTCGTGATATTTACCCAGTGCTTCATCTTCACTTTCAGAGGATGAACCATGCTCATCTTTATCCATGTAGGAATTATCTATTTGGAATGACAGGGAGAACAAATCAAAATTTTAATAAAGTATGATGAATTTGATATACACACACATATACACACAAAGAGATATATGTCACATACATCCATATGCACATGAATATACATATACATACACAAAGTGAATTTCCAGCTTTAAATAAGTATAATTTTTTCATTTAAGAAACCCAAAGCTTTAGATTTTCATATTTTTAATAGAAAAAAAGATCAATTTGTATATTTTAATTATAAAAAATGTTAGTCACAGGGATTTTCCAACCATGTTACAGATAAAGGAAATAATGGAATTTGCCACCTTACACAATTTTTTAAAGGATCAGTAGCACACAAAGAGACTTAGAAATATCGCCGGTAGATATGGAGCTGATTCAAACTAGAATGTGACTAGAGACATTTTAGTTATCATCCGGGTCCAAATTTTCAAAAATGATAAGGCTTAGTTCTATGAGAACAGAGAAATGGGCAGACATATATTACTGGTGGAATTATCATTGGTACAACTCTTCTAGAGAGCAATTTAGCAATACATATCAAACTTTAAATCTGCACCATCTGTGATTCATTTCTAGGAATTTACCGATTCCATTTCCAAGAATTCGGCCTAAGAAAATAATTAACAGGTGAGCAAAGATATGTATTTCCGACAATTCACTGCACTGTGTTAAATAGCAACAGAAAACAAAAATAAAATATAATCTAAAGGTCCATCACTGGGCCTTGGTTAAGTACGTTGTGATATATCTATGCAATGATACAGTATGCAGTCACTACAAATGAGGAGGTGAACTCACAGGTACTCACAGGGAAGAATAACTACAACATCATGTTAAGAGAAAAGAGAAGGTTATGAAACAAGGCATACCTACGTTCTTATTTAAACACACACACACACACGCAGTGTATGTTCATATACACATACAAAAATATGTGGAAGGATGCACTTATTTTCTGTGAAAGGGAGAATTAGAAAATTTTACCTAAGTATAACTAAATTTCAAATAAAATTTTTAGGACATATAAAACTTGCATTATTCTTAAAATAACAGCAAACTAGTATAATAATAACTAGTTGTTACCATTTTTTTAAAGTAAAAATTTTGAAAGTGCACTATGTTGAGTTGAGGTTCATTTAACCTAAGATGAGCCTTCTCAGAAAATAAAACAACTCTGGAAAGATAAAGAGACCACAGCAGGTAGAATTTATTAGGTCAGTCGAGATATTTTTCTCTTTATAAACATTTGAGATCATCTGCATGAAAGGAATCAAGGTTTGAAATTCAGGAGGGGAGACACAGAAAAAGTAATTTAAAAATATGGTAGAGGAATGGTATGTTTAGAGTCAGAAGGGAGGGAGCTTGGATGTCACTAGTCTAAGTCCTCCCTTTTAATTCAGTAAAAGAAAGCCATGAAAGGGTAAAACTATGACCTGTGTCATATTCTGCACATCCTAATACGTAGTCACTAGCCACATGCAGCTATTTGATTGAAAATAAAATAATTTATGAAAGTTCTTTTGAAAATCTCCTTTTCCTTACCTCCCCCAACTCCCAAGTATATAATCAGTCACCCCTCACCAACCCTGGGGCAGCAGCTCTTTCTGCACATGGGTCCTGTCCCTGTGCTTTAATAAAACCACCTTTTTGCACCAATAAATAAATAAATAAATAAATAAATAAATAAATAAATAAAGTGCTCAATACGTGTGTGTGGCTAGTGGTTACTACATGGAACTTTTCCATCATTGCAGAAAGTCCTGTTAGACGGTGCTGAGGTGATAGCAGATCTGGTCTAGAACCTGGGCCTTCTGACACCCAGTTGACAGCTTTAGCATTTTGTGGGCTACCACGGCGGTGGTCTCTAAGGCAGCAGGAGAGCTCTGAGAAATTCTGCCATCATACTTCACCTATTACAAAATATTACCTACAACAGTCCTGCATTCAGAAATATAGAAGGAAACTCTTCCTTCTCTTTCTAAATCCTATAAGGTCTATGAACAAACCGTTAGAACACAGGTACTAGTAATACTGATAAAACTATTAACTAATAATATCAGAGTTCAGCTACAGGAAGAAGTAATCTATGGGTCAAATGATTTTCAAATGATTTTTAGAACAAAGTATGCTTACGTTTAGTACTGGCTATAATCTAGAATATCTGAGAGATACTTGGGTTTTCTAGCGACCAGCATGATTCTGAATGAAAACAAATCAAAACAAAATTAACTCTATGCTGCTATGTGTGTAGCTTTTATTACTACTGTCTATTCTGTTATTTTCTGAATAACTTAAGTATTCTATTTTGTTTATTTTTGCTACTTCAAATAATAAGGCTAACAAAACTAAACCATGGCTACCCAAAACCACTGATTTTGATAATTAAAAAACTGCTAGCAGAACAGACTCCAAAATGGACATATTTCCAAAAACTGGCTTTCCTTTTTAATTAATCTATCCATCCTGGATCAGCCTCTATGATATCACTTAAAAATCATTCATATAGTTGATAAATAGCAGATCCTGATTATGTATGAATTCATGAAGAACTGAAAGTCTTCCTCATTTCTACTGCCACTCAGATTTTTATTTTTATGAGAAACTAAATTTATAGAAAAATGTCAGAGATATATATATATACACATATATATAAAAGCCAGTGTACTTTTGGCCTTGTGATCAGATCAGCAACAAACGGAAATGACTAAGGGATTAACAGAAGCAACCACTAGCCATACAAAGCAATTCTGCAACCAACCCAAATAACTGTCGCCTCACTGTTTTGAAAATTGTCACAAATACTGTAGTTAAAAACTGTAAATGATTAGTTGGAATCTTAATTCTACATAGAGAACTCATAAAAAATAATAGACTGTTCACATATACTCATTGTAAACACAAAACTCATATAAAATTCTTAATATGTGGCTAAATGAATAGGCACATATCCTGACCCACATGTTATTCAATAAAATAAACTCTAGGGGCACCTGGGTGGCTCAGTGAGTTCAGCATCTGACTCTTGATTTCAGTTCAGTTCAGATCATGATCTCAGGGTCAGGGGATGGAGCCCCTCATCGGGCTCCAAGCTCAGCACGGAGTCTGCTTGGCCCTCTCCCTCTGCTCCTCCCCCTGCTCACGCTCTCACACTCTCTCTCAAGTGAATAAATAAAATTTTTAAAAATAAATAAAATAAAAAAACTCTATTGCTCTAAAGGAAAAATATAAAAACACTCGATACAGATTCTTATTGGGATAGACTCGAAGGGCAACATAGTATAAAGGTCTCAGGAGTTAGTTACAAAAATATAAAATTTCAAAATTCAACTTTAGCACACTAAATACACTCCAACTAGAGAATGCACACTACTTAAAACTATGGAGTCTCTGGTTGTCTAATAAACAATCATTAAGAAAAATCAGCCAAATAATGCAGGGACCAGGGACAATATTTAACTTAGCAGTGTACAAAGAACATGAATGCTTTCAAAATGATGGTCAGAAAAAAAAAATGAATGACCTTAAAATTGTCTCCCAGTAAGAGGATTCAAGAACATCTTAAATTAGATCCATAGACATGTGTAGGAAAGTGTGGAAATTTGGATGTTTTCTTAATTTAAAAAATCAAGAGAAAAGTTTAGCACTCAAACCCACAGTAGGAGACCTCACCTTTTCCTGGTATTATCTTAGAATATTTTTCATCTTTACTCTTTGCTGTTCCTTTGTGGGCAGAAATGGCTTCAGTTTTCTTTGTTTGTATGTCTCCTTTCACTTTGTAGGACATTGTTGGATTTTTCTGTTCTTTGATTTTTCCGTGTAACTTATCTTTAGAATCAGCTGTTGGTGCTGGATCTATGTCTTCTTTCATAATGGGATTCTGTATCACATGTCTGTTGCTTGCCAAAATATCTTTTGGAGAACACTCATTTCCTGACCACTCATTCCCTTTGGATCCTTTACTTTTAATATGTTTTTCAGCTTTCTTTAAATGATTTTCTTCCATTTCTTGGCATCTTACCTCCTTTAAATCATTCTTACCATCATCGGGCATTCCTAATCCAACTTTTTTACATCTGTCAGTATGTTCAAGTTCTTGACAAACAGATCCAGCCCTTGCACTCTGCTTGATAAATGATATCTCACCCTCACTCAGGTGAGCTTTCAAAGAAGAATCACCATCAGCATTACTGCTTTCTTGATCTTTTGATAGAGTCTGTTGCCTATCATTAATATGTCTGAATACTCTTTCTTCATTCATTCTGTGATCTTGCTTTTGTGAAACTGAAGTATTGTAACAACTGATTCGATTTGCTCTGTGCTCTAAACTGGACTGGGTTTTCTGACAAGTAGTGTCTCTGGAGACTTCTGGTGACATGGCGTTTGTTTGTTTAGAAGCATCTACTACAGCTTCTGCTACTGCCGAGCTTTCTTCTTCTGGGCGAAAGCCATTTATCATACTTGTTACCTGTTCAGCAACTGAGTCAGTTAAAGCATAGCTGACTTCCCCAACAGCAGTGGTTAAATCTTCTACAGCATTACTGATTGTGTCCACCAGAGAAGACACTGAAGGCAGATTCTGCTGGAAAGTTTTGAAAAATGCCATTTTCTAATTCCTTATTCCTAACAGATGCAATAATGGAATTCTCTCTTCTCAAAGTATCAACCACTTAGGAACTTGAATTTAAAATGTACTTAAATATTGTTACTCATGAGCTTGGTATTATTATTTTGCATTGTGGCTTTTAATCTTTCTGTAAATGCATTATGCATTGAAAGAAATACGTCGAAGCAAAGACTCTTCCAAAAGAAAAAAAAAAAATCAAACCACTTGGTTTAAATGTAATGACATTTTTTCCCACTCCATAGCTATCATAACAGCAGCAAGACAATATTTTCCCCTCAAATACTATTGGTTTTTTTATTCTATACCTGCAAGAAGAAGTATAAAAAGGATTTTTATTATGGACTTTTGGTTTATTTACTAATAGTCTATGTAGGGGAACTACCCTATATTATTAACAAACTACCAATATCATTTCAAATTAAGACACCTACTAAGGGGAAAATAAGCAATTTGCACAGAGGTCAGGATAGAAAAAAGAGTAGAAGGGGAAAATAAGCAATTTGCACAGAGGTCAGGATAGAAAAAAGAGTAGAGGGTATCATGCCTATGGTACCTGCAGAGTGGCTACTAGATGCAAGGCATTGTGATTTACAAGTTTTATCATACCCGATCTCACAATAACTCTAGGAGGTAAATGTTATTATTCCTATTTAATAAGTGGGAAAAAAAAAAAAAAAGCTCAGAAAAAGTAAGAATGTTCCCAAAACCTTTCCAAAGGATCCTCAAGGTCAAAACTATTTTTATAATAACAGTGAGGGGATATTTAACTTTTTCACTTTCATTTGCTCATAAATGAACACTGGAGTTTTCCAGAGGCTACAAGGCAGATTGAATGCAGAAGCAGACATGAGAATAACAGCTGGTTCTTCTTTGCCAGTTATTAAAGGGATTTGCAAAAAATAAAAAACAATGGCACTTTTCTCACCATTTTTTGGGGGGGGGTAAAAAAAACATATAGTTTTTTAAGTTAAAAAATGTTACTTATATTTAACATGTATGTAATAGGCTTATTGGGTTTTTTGTGGGGTTTTTTTTCATTCTAAGTTCTTATTTAAATTCTAGTTAGTTAACATATAGGGTACTACTGGTTTCAGGAGAATTTTAGTGATTCATCATTTACAAATAATACCCAGTGCTCATCACAAGTTATTGGGTTTTTTTTTAAACAAATAAGTTGATAAGAATATTTTTAAATTCTCTCAGTTTTAACTTCTAATATGGTACATATCAAAAGATACAACTCACATAAACAAAAGCTCTTTGGGGTCTTCAATAATTTTTAAGAGTGTAAAGGTAGTCATTAGACCAGAGAAAAACCAGAAATGCTGAACCAGGGGATTCCTGGTGGCTGCCCAGAGAGATATCTTTAACCAGTTCAACTCTACACAATGATCAAGAAGCAAGACTGAAGTATGAGAAACTAAACTTAAATCAAACTCACGAAAGTACTACACTTTCCTGATGCAGAAGTCACAGATGTAATTCAATAACCAATAGATATTTATAAACAATAATGCTATCACTTTTTAAGTTACCAAGGGTAAGAGAAAAACAACTCTCCAACACAGTACACAGACAAGAGCAAGGTTTTTCTGCTAATGCTCTGCAATACTGTTCTAAATTAACGCCTTGCTTTTATAATTCTCAACTCGCTTCTGCTATCATTTATACAAGCCAGTCTTTGGAAACAGCAAATAAAAAACTCTTATAATAATATAAAAAAAAAAAACCTCCACAGAATACTTTTCATGAAAGAAAGAACAAGATTATAGTCCTCATCTCTCCTGGTACGTAGTAGTAGTAAGTGATATAAAGTGATATCATGCCTATGGTACCAAGGGAGGGAGAGGAACACTAATTTTTATAACCAGACTTTATCTATACACTAAGTTAATAGAGAAAACCACTTTCTCCAAACAATAAAATTATCCATCAGCTGAGAATTCAACAGCAGGTAAAGAAAAAGCGTGAATACTTTCAAAAAGCCTTCTATGGGAATAAGGGGGAAAAGCTCTCCAGAGAGTTATTTGGACAGTATGATTTAAGCTATATAGAGAAGAAAGATACTTCCTTCTTAAAGCATATCTACTCATATTACAGGCTCAGAAGCACACCTTATATATGAAAAATAAAAATGTCATTTTCTGATAGTATGCAATTCATCTTTATGCGATATATTAGCAATTTGTGAACAGAAAGATAACGGAACATAATTTACTTAATAGATTTTTTTTTTTACTCTCACAGAAAAGTGGCTCAAATGTTAGTTTACAGTATGTCAAAACCAACCTCACATATTATGTTTAAAAAAATAAAATAACAGAATGGTATAGATATAAAGAACAAATAAGAAAAGCAGTGATGATACTTACAAATTTTATCTTGTGAGTTCTTCCTTGTACTGTATCCTGAACCAAGATCTGGAAACCCGCCAACATTTTCAAAACAGAACTTCTTATTAATATAGAGAAAAAGGAGCAGCATCAAGATAATAAACACCCCAACAGCTGACAAAAATCCAACTGCCTCTGGAGAGACTAGAGAAAAAAAAGTCACATCTGTAAGCATTTATTCTCCTTTAAGCTACAAATAAGAAGGAAACCCCTACACATGTTAGATTACTGCCTTAGTTGAATTATACTTTTTAATTGTCATAGTTTACATAGGTTTATAAGAAAAACAAACTACATAGTTTAATGAGCTGTTCAATTCATTCAACAGTACTTATTCAAATCTAAAAGTGTCTGTATAAATTATGTTGGAGCAATCTTAAAAGACAAGAGTTCATAAAATAGGCAGTTACATATTTAGTCCATTTAAGAGTATTACAAAAATTTTAGCACAAGAATTAGAAAAAATTACTTCCCACACACAGATATCTTACTTAGCCAAATTTATAAGAACATTTATTATTATTCTTATCTCTAAAAGCTTCAATGGCCATTTTATTTAATAAACTCTGGACTTAACGTGGCATTCAAAGCTCTAGCCTCTCTCTTCGATATTACACTCTAATCAAATGGTTCCACCCACTGCCTCCGAATTGGCTATATGCATTACCACACACCTGGTCTTTGTTCATCTTCTTCCCCTTGCCTGGAATGACCAAGTCTGCTCTTTACCATATCCCACTCATTCATTCAATCAACAAATATTCTGGACCAGCAGGCATTACCACATACACAGTCCCTGTCTTCCATGAACAGTCTGGTGAAGGCACTTACAACATGGCGTAACACAGGCTAAGAGTAGGAAGAACAGGGACTATGAGCTACAGAAACACTTAAGCCAGCGTTGAAGGGTCCAGTAGGCTTTTCTGAAAGTTATGAACCCCATGATTATATTCTAAGAATTATTAAGAATTAGCAAGTTAACACTATCCCAGCCAGAAGAAATGGCAAGTGCAAAGGTCCAGAGACAGGAAATCACTGTATATTCCAGAAACTCAATGAAACTTTGTTATGATAAACTAGATTCTCAAGAGAATCTGATCTCAAGAGAATACATGAAATCATACATGGAGACTTTGTACAGTGAGAACCACCACCACCAAAATCTACAACTCCTCCAATCCTCAGCAGTCTCTCTTTCAATGTTTGCATTATTTGTCACTATACCAGTCATTTGGAGTTAAATAGGAACTAAATTTTTTATCCCTCATACCTCAAGGGATATCCATACATCCCTCAAGTATTAGATGGGAATGAATCCTAAGCCTCAAATATCCTCTACAACCTGCAATCTACTCTTTCTTCTTCCACTGCTCAAGCAGCAACTAAGATGTCATCTCCTCCAAGATTCTTGCTTTAATCAGAAGAGCCACAGCAATTAGCATCTAAACTCATTTGTTTAAAATGAAGTCACCAACCAGTCCGATGATGACTGTTCTTATCTCCTAGCTTTTCATTATTTGTGAAAGTCAGCCATCCCAGGTGTAGAACTTCTAGGACATTATAGTCTATTCAAAGCTGGATTAACAGTATTATTATGGTAGAAGATGGAGCAGAGTGACATTGTGAAGGAAAAGGGGAGAGACTGAACAGAAATGCAGTCTAAATATCAGGCTGAGGAACAGATCCTGCTACTAGAAACAAGAAGTCATGCCCAGACATTAACCCTGTCTCATTTTTCAGGCTGGAGAATAGTCAGGAAAGAGAACAGTATTTTAACTTAAAAATCTAAGCTATATTACCAAAAACAGTGGTATGCATCAAGCCTGAAGGAGGAGGTAAAAATAAAAACAGAAAAATTATCTTCAGCAATTCTTATAGCTAGGAAAGTCAGAAGCAGGCCAGGACCTGGTATAAAAAGCAAAATGCTCAGTAAGCTTATATTCAATATTAAGTTTACCCAGGTCCCAAATACACTTGAAAATTTGATGCATTTAAGTGAACACACAGGGTTAGATAATATGCAACCTGAAAATCTCCCGTCTCTTAAAAGACTAAATGAGAGAAAACATAGCCCACCTCACTTAAAAAAGCTAATTATTGCTAACAAAAATAGCAAAAAATACATATACCATAGATTACGTACTAAGGACTGTTTTAAGTACTTTACATATTTTAACTTTTTAAATCTTCACAATCAGACTACTATCCTCATTATAAATTGTGATATGGAGACATTAAATTATGTGCCCAGCTTACAAGTGGAAGAGTCAGGATTCAAACCGTGTCTGGTAACAGGGTCTGTGCTTTTAACTACTGTTCATACTGCTTCTCCTGTATTCCTTCTCTCCTCTCCTTGCCTCTTCCTATCTCATGTCTCAGTCCTTATTTCTGTGTTTCTCTTTTCATCTCCCTCCTTTGCATTTGAAAATTTAACCTGGGGTGGAGGCGAATCAACTATAAACAAATATAACACAGTAAGTGCTATAATAGAGGCAGGAATAGAAAGTATCACTGGAACACAAAGAAATGCCACCTGGGGACATTACAAATGCTACAGAAAGGAGGTAACACTTGAGTAGGGTATGAAAGATTAATAAAACTATCAAATAGTGAAGGGACAGATGAAATAGCACAGTAAAAGATACAAAATGTGCATGGCATTCTAGAAGCACTAATGGGTCATGTCGGTCTTATCCGCCTCCATGTTCTCAAAGCACCTAGCACAATGCCACATAGCTGATGTTACATAAACATTTGTAAATGAATGAATGAATGAATGAATGTGTGCTCAGGGAAGATCTAGAATACACCAGAGGAGCTGAGACTGGAGATAAAAGCAAGATCCAAAATATCGAAGAAACTTGAATACCATCCTAAAGATTTTGTATTTGCAGAACTATATTGCTTAAAACATTCAGAAAACTGAAATATGGTAGGGAGTGATTGGTGGCTACGCAGGAGTTGTTCTTTTTTCTAATTTAAATTCAATTAGTTTTAACATATATTTTTAGTTTCAGAGGTAGAGTTCAGTGATCCATCAGTTGTATATAACACCCAGTGCTCATATCACCTGCCTTCCTTAATGCCCATCACCCAGTTACCCCATCCCTCTACCTCCTTCCCCTCCAGGAACCCTCTGTTTGCTTTTCCTGATTAAGAGTAGGAGGAGCTCTTAAATGAAGAAGTAACAGTGGTGACAGAGAAGAGGGGTGAACTCTAGTTTTTGTTCAAGGAAAACAGATAATAACCTAATCGCTTAGATGTAGAAGATGAAGATGAAGAGAAGCTGAAGATAATTCTAAAGTTTCTAGTTTGTGTGAATGAGTTAATGGTTACACCATGAACCAAAATGAAAAAATATAAAGGGAAAGAGATATAGTTTAGGGCATGAGGGCTAAGAGGGAACTGGAAAGAGAGAGGTAGATAATGAGTTTAGTTTTTGACATATTACATTAGAAATGTCAGACTATTTCAGTGTGGATGCCTAGTAAAGTGAGGGAAGTATGAGTATAGTGCTCTCGTGAAGGTGGGTTAATTATACAAGATTTGAGAGTTTTCCTCCTTTTGTTCATCCTACTCCATGTGAAAGATTTCACTGACTAAATACAAACCAAACTGGCACATGATGGGCAAATCTTATTTTACAAGTTTTTAGACAAATATACTGTGACTTTGGACCAATTTTTAACAAAAAAATCTTTCCCCATCAGAAAAAGGAGAAAGACGCTTAACATAAATATATTAGTCACCCAACTCCTTTCTTATCCATCACCTAAATGTTCATTTTCTACATTCTTTGAAAATATTTTATGTATTTAAATTTTAAAACAGTAGTATGGTTGTAGACAAGAATAAAACATTTTCTAAAAGAAAACATTAAAAATCTTCAGACTTCTATTTTTCATCCTTATCTCAGAATTAAAATAATATTTATTATTTCAAATGACATGAAACCATAAGTTGGCCATAAACAGTTCTAGGCATGAAAACATTTGACAAAGTCTACTTATGCATAAAACTGCAATAGAAAATACACTGAAATTAAAGACATGAATGCTATACACCATCAAAAAAACCAAAATAAAATTACACTAACCTAGATCTCACTAGAGAAAATATATTTTCATTCAGTATAAGAAGTTATGCCTAAAATCTTATTTATATTATGAACCTGCTTATAAAGTGAGTCTGCATAGGTATTTCTATAATTATGATTAAATTATCTGTACATAAACCTACTCTTTCCCAAAATTCTAGATTAGCCACTGCAAGCAAGTAAACGCTATTGTAAAATGCCTATTACCTTTTAAGGAGAAGCTTCAAAATCTATTTAATAGCAAACAGATAATTAGTTTAGGTTAATATTATGCATTTGAAGAATTTAATTTGCTGAATCAAATTTGAGTTAATCAATAACTCAAAATTCACTAGTGCATTATTTTCCCATAATCCAAACTTGTAAAATTTACATGTGATAAACAATAAAACCAAGACCAAATAATAATAATATTAGCAACATCAAATATTTAAGAGTGCAGGGAGGGGGTGGGGGGATGGGTTAGCCTGGTGATGGGTATTAAAGAGGGCACATTCTGCGTGGAGCACTGGGTGTTATGCACAAACAATGAATCATGGAACACTACATCAAGAACTAATGATGTAATGAATGGTGATTAACATAACAATAAAAAATTTAAAAAATATATTTAAGAGTGCTTATTATTTGCTAAGGGCTGTTTTTTTTTGTTTGTTTTTATTTAAATTCCATTTAGTTAACATACACCATAATATTAGTTTCAGGTGTACAATACAGTGATTCAACATTTCCATACAACACCCGGTGCTCATCACAACAAATGTTCTCCTCAATGCCCATCACCTATTTCACCCATCCCCCACCCACCTCCCTTTCTGGTAGCCATTAGTTTGTTCTCTCTAATTAGGAGTTGGCTTCTTGGTTCGCCTCTCTCTCTCTCTCTCTCCCCTTTGCTCGTTTTAAGCATTACATTTAGGAGTTACAAGCATTATCCAGCTGATTCTTCACTACAACCCAATTTTATAAATATGGGAATTGAGGCTCAGAAAGAGTCAAGCAGAATTTCCAAGATCTTAAAATTATTATTCAGTGATAGAGTCTTGATTTG